CAATATATTGAAATTAAAATTAATCAATAAATTGAAATTAAAATTAATTAATAAATTAAAATTAATATTAATTAATAATTTATAATCAATAATTTATAATTTATAATTTATAATTTATAACAATTAATATTAATCAGGGTTATAATGGAAAAAGCGACAATAAGCTCCTAATAAGCTACTCCAACAAGCTTTTCAATAAGCTAATTTATGTTCATCTAAACATGTACTCAAAAATAAGCTATAGATTATAAGCTAGCTTATGTTTGCCAAACAATGCCTAAAAGACGAATACTACTAGCGATTCGGTGTCTATTCTTAATTTCAATTTGATTAAAAGTTTAAAGCATTTTAAAAAGATATAATGTTATTTTTGGCTTTAAAAAGGAAACAGGGCAAGACACCAAGCTTCGTAGTCCTCAAGGACGATCATATGGAGCTTGTAAGGAAAAGGAAAATATATGGAGCAAGAAAAAGAATCATGGCAAAATAAATGGCAGCACAAAGAAAACATAAATGAAAGCAGCGAAAACTCAAATATTTTGCACAGATATGATACCAAACAATTTTGAATTTAGAAAAATGAACCTGAGATAGCTGTGAAGCAGTTCTATCACCCTTAAAATCTCCTTTTAAGATGTTTGCCCAATTCCCTTCACCACATTTCTGCACTGCAGAGAACAGTTCCATGTCCTCAGCTGCAGACCATGGTTTTCTTTTCCTCCGAGGTGGCAAGCTGGAACTTGCACAACCATTTGTATCCAATCCTTCGGTAGATGCAACTGTTGGGAGTGGCTGTTTCTGAACAGAAACTGGAACTGTGATGTTGGTCCCTCTCACATTACTAGCAACTTGTGGATTTTCAGATGGATTTCCGGCTGACTTCCCATCAGGTATATTTATAGTCAATGGAGCCTCAATGGTCAAGCCCTTTTCTAAGCCAGAGCCGCATGCTGAACCAGAAGCTATGAGTACCTGAAGAATGCAACAAGTTCAACAACATTGGAGTCATTCGACTATATATAATACTTCATCAGTCATCAGAAGGTTAAGTGGTAGTAGAACTTCTAATAACATAGAATATGAAGCCCAGGGTCACTGTTTTCATTGAGAACAACTTGTTCAACTTTTATCATAAACAACTTCAAGCTTAGGCACCAAAAATAACAAGAGCAAACATTTTCTAAAGAAGTAATATTTTTTCGAATTCCATAAGACATGATTCAATGGAAGAGAATTAAAGATGTTAGAAAATCAAACAAGTGTATTGACTTGTCAGAAAATATGTCCTTAGCACCCTTCTCACAAACTGTATGTTCCATATGACATGATTCAATGGTCTTTATTTTCTTCTGTCTGTTCTATCACATGTCTCTTGTGTGCCCCTATTTCCTTTTGTGCTGTTGCATGCTTGCACATAATCATGTTTTAATGCTACTTTTTGCACTTATCATTTTGTATCTCTGTTTTGCAAGCCGAGGGTCTTTCACATAAACAGCCTATCTACCCTTTGGAATATACTACCCCCCCCCCACCTTGTGTGGCATATATTGGGTTCGTTTGTTTGGCTTCCGTATCCAATTACACAAGCAACATGTGGGAGTCAGGATAGAGACAAAATCATAACTTGCAGATGGACTGTAACCAATATTTCTATTTCTGTCAGTGATATAAAATTCAGTGTTCTTGTTTACCTTCACACATGCTGCAGCCTCCATTAAAGCCTCATTGTTGACAGGTGGAAAAGCTTCCAGCTCATATTCTAAATCGCTATCATCATCCTGCCAATAGATATTTAATAAAAGAATCTTGTGTAAATTGAACAATGTGAAAATCTGAAAAAAAAATCTACCAGTATTTGATGGTAAGAATAAGTGGGCATCCAGTTTCAACAATCTTAAATTATACCCAAGACTCAAGGGTAAAATATCATATAGTAGATTAAACAGTTATGAGGGTAAATATCCTCAAACTATAGATGGAGGCTCAAATAGCTTTGAGGTCCAAAGTTTGAATAACAACCTTGTGCATTGCCCAATGAATTACTGCACGAGCTCCCCTCAGGTTTGGTTTCCCATGGCTTTCTTAGAAAGGTTGGAATTTAGTGCTTTGGAACACATCATACTACTTTGGATGCATGTGCTTCCAATATCACATGTTTAATGCAAATAAAAAAGATAAAAATAAACAATTATAAGCCTAATCCTAGCATGAAATCAATAACAAGCTCAAGAAAAAGTAACTGCAACTACCAAGGTTTGGGTTGAAAAATTAGTGATAGATATATCAACTTCATTTAGTTTGTCGGTGGAACATTCTTAAGTTGGGTCATTAACTTTGTTTATTAAAATTCAAATCAACGCTTAGTTTTTTTGTTTGGTTATTCTCATTATATCGTTATCTCATACTCCTTGGTGTATTACTTTCTAAAGACACTATTTAGTTATAGGAATGATTATTTTCCTAATTTTAGATTGTATTCCATGCAGAGAAAAGATAATATTGTATTAACATGGGAATAGATGGATGTATTTGATGCCATGCATGTAAGGTGTCCGATTCTGAATATAGAAGTTAACATTTTGGGTGCTACACACACACACACACACACACACACATATATATATATATATATATGTGTATATAAATATATATGTCACATAAAATACACAATATAGTTCAACAAAGAAACAAAATGCATATCAAAATAATTCATCAAAGCACTTGTCAACCAAACTCTAGTCTATTGGCATGTCACGTTCTACAAACACATAAGCAACATATCTAAAAATACAAGAAAAACATAGAATGAGCGTATGAAAGGAAACAAGTAGAATGATATTGACATATAACAAAAACAAGTTGAGGACACGAGTACGATGAGCGAGAAAATATAAAGGGAATAGAAGATAAGTAGAAACCGAAACATCAAAACCCTAATTAGTATGAATATGATATGTTTTGAAATTGTACATGCAAGATTCCAGGCATTTACTAGTTTCATTTCCTTTTTGGATGTGGAAATATTAGAAGCTCCGAAACCCAAATAAACGACAAAAAATGAGCCAAAACGTTTTTGGAGCCACACCCAATTCACCAAAGGTGCATCAAATTTATTTCTTTAGCATTAATAAATATGAGCCCATTAGTGTGGTTACGACACACTAGTTCAAATTAACGATGCTTCACATAACATAACTTTTTGTACCCATTGCTACGCATCACACCTACTTTGATTTTCCAACCATTAGATCATCAAGTAACCCTACAACAATAAGTAAACAAAAAATGTTCAACTCTACCCCCAACTTAATCCACTTTCATAAATTTAGTTAACATCATGTAAAAGAAAATCCACCTTTCATTGATATGAACTGAACATGCAAACTCATGATTCCATAAACCAAATAAGAGAAATGCCCAAATTGTTCATCCATAAATATAGTAAAATTTTAAATAACCAATAAAGAGCTCATACTTAAAAATCAACACTCTTGCCATCTCCAAAAGATCAAGCTTTTCAACTATAAGAATGTAAAACCAAACCAAATGTACCCAATATAGACCATCAGAAGTAGGACCTAGGAGAGATAGGATGTTGGCAGACCTTACCTCTACCCAAAGAAATTCAGCTAGTAAGATATGAAAAGTAAAGTTGTAAGGTTCTCTACAACACACAGTCTAACATAGTTGCAGCTGCAAAGATTTTTGTGGCATCTCTAACTATGTTGGTCAATTCATGGATTAACAATCAATATCCTAATTTCATCGATCGTGCATAGGTGTATAAAGCATACTTGTGAATCACAAGGATATCGTCTTTGTCCCTTTATTTCACTACAATTTTTTCGATACCAACAAGAGAACTTTCTTTATATGTTGTTACTAACAAATTTCGATCACTAAACTCCACAAACAAATCCATGTGAATAACACAGATACGGTAAAGAAATCTGAGGTAAGTTCTATAAAATCGTACACTACGATTAATTTGGGGCATTTCACCAACACAATGACGGGTAAGACAAGATTCCGATTCACTAATGGGATCAACACGGTTTGCTTTCATGACTTGATGGTACTAGAGCTTCAATATCAACTAGTAGACAAATACAAACTTATTAAATCATCAAAGCATTTTTCAAGCATACATATACATAAAAGAGTCTCACCAAAGGTTTAGCTTCTTCTTCTAAATTTTCAACTAATGGATCGCGATAAGCCAAATGGCGCCATAGCATTTGGTATTCCCTTGGATTTGTGATACCAGTAGTAGTTCGTTTCACCAATGCATTCCAGTCAATCTTTGCATCCTGAACTTGAGCCACTTCCTGAAGCAAAGCTAGCACTGTTGTAGCTGTATGCCTTCAGAATCATCACAGCAAACATATAATAAACATTTATTCAAATAAAAGAGCTTCCTTTAAGATGATATAGAGATTCACTGCACAGTGCTTATGAATGTGCAAACTCGCAATAGGAAAACTTCGTCAAGAGAGGAGTTCTAGATAAACTCACATATGTCAGAGTATGTTTCAAATCACAGCAAAATAATACATAGATTCCACCATTCTTTTTAAGAAGATAGATTGATGAATTGAATGAAATTTTGGTTAATCCCAGTTAAACCCTAACAAAATAGTGAAAAGGGAGGAAAACCTTTGTAAGATGGTGGATACGTCTTCTTCACTAATGGCGCCCTTTTTCTGCTTCTTCGTTTTCTCGTCCATTTCTGATTCTTGATTGATCGAGTGAAATTGCATGAATTTCACAGAAAATAAATAGTCCCTCAGATGAAAATTTGAGATTACCCTAACAACTAGGGTTCTTGTTGTTCCTGGGGATTGATAGATTAACAGAGGACCTCGGTCGATTTGAGAGTGAGATGAAGAATCGAACTGATTTTTACGTCAATCAACTGGATTCTCAAAAGACGAAAATCCTTGACTGTCGAATGTTTTTACGTCAAATGAAACGTGAGGATGATTAAAAAACAAATGCATAAAATTTTGTATTGTATTAATTTTTTTATATATAATAATAAATAACATTTTTTTTTTAGAAACAGCAGATTTATTAAAAACAAACAAAGGCTAGCAAGATGCTAGCATTTACAACAAAGCCGCTAAAGGGCTGATACACCAAACATTCCAATCAACAGAATTACAAGATTTCGATCTAATTTTAATCCAATTATACGAAAAGAGCACGATCTACTTGGAAATCACCATCGGGCTTTTTGGGGGTTTGTTGAAGACAAGCGCATGGCGATTCAACCATATCACCCAAATGGACGCCATGAGAATTATTTCCAACGCCTCCTAACCCTCTTCCCTTTGAAAGGAAATTGCGTTGCAAAAAAAAATTCCGCCAAGTTGGTAGCTTGATAAGGAAAACCCGACCACCAATTCTTTACATAAGCACTGATCTCCTTTGTAGACGAACATCCAAACAAGAGATGAACTTCCGTTTCCAGCTGACTTAGGCAACAAGGACAAAGAACCGAGCTCACCCGGACACCTCTTAAGGAGAGATTACATCTGGTGGGGAGTCTAGATTTTGAAAGACGCCAGATAAGCATATTCACTTTACCGGACACTAATTTATTCCACATCGTTATTCTTCCATCGAATTGTAAAACACCTTCCTCGATCTTACCCCGACACGACTTGACCAAGAATACTCCGTCTTCGGATAGAATCCATCTTCGATCGCCATTGGTATCAACCGACCAGAAATTATTAACATGCAGTCCAACTTTACTGATGAGAGTATCCCACTTAGCAATAGCTCCCCAGACACCCGGCTTCTTACAACCATCACCAAAAATACCTCCTCTATCACCATGAAACGCCTTAATACTATCTCTCCAAAGACTGCCCTCTTCATTTGGAAACCTCGACCACCACTTAGCAAGGAGACTCCAATTAAGTGCTTTCAAACTGCCGATGCCAATACCCTCTTTATCCATTTTGTTACAAGTAACCTTCCACTTAACCTAGATAATTTTCTTACTCTGTCCAGACCGGCCCCAAATGAATTGGTTCCTAAGACTTTCAAGGGTGTTAAGCACATTTTCCAGAACTTTAAACAAAGAGAAAAGATAAACTCCCAAGCTACCAAGAACCGATTTACACAGTATCTTCCTACCACCAAACGACAAAAACTTGGCCTTCCAAGCGGAGAGTTTCTCTTGGAATTTATCTACTAACTTATTCCAACTACTTCTCCTTCCCATCTGCGCACCTACCGGAATACCCAAGTATTGGAACGGAATAGAAGAAAGTTTACAATTCATTCTACGAGCGAGTAATTCAGCTTCCCCGGTGCCCGACCCAATTCCGTACAAACAACTTTTCTGCAAGTTGATTTTTAACCCCGACGAAAGATAAAAACATTTGAGCAAACGGATCAAATTAAGACCATTGGTTAACGACCAATCACCCATAAATAGAGCATCAGCAGCATATTGAAGAATCTCTATTCTGGGGCCACCTCTGGGAAGAGACAACCTGTTAAATACCCCTTTAAGACGAGCTTCATACATAACCACCCTAAGGGCCTCCATAGCTATAATGAAAAGAAAAGGAGCAATAGGGTCACCTTGTCGCACACCTTTTTCCATGATAAACTCCTCAGTTGGGATTCCATTTACAAAAATAGAGACACTTGCATTAGAGAGAATTCCTCGAGTCCACTTTCTCCAGGTATTACCGAATCCCATTTGACACATAACCTCGTCCAAAAAGTCTCAGTTCAAGTTATCAAAAGCCTTCTCAAAATCAGCTTTAAAAATTAACACTTTACTCTTTGCCTTCCTAGCCCAAGAGATTGTCTCATTAACAATAAGCGGGCCATCCAGAATGCATCGGCCCTTAATAAAAGCCGACTACTCCTTCCCAAAGATCGTATCCAACACCCCTTTTAATCTTTCTGACAGCACCTTGGAGACGATTTTACAAACACAACCAATAAGATTAATCGGCCTGTAGTCTTTGAAAGACAAAGGGTCCTTTACCTTTGGAACTAAAGTAATGAAAGAAGCATTGCATCCCCTTCCAATTTCTGCGTTGGCCTCAAAGGATTTGACCGCCTTGAAAACATCCTCGCCAATGACATCCCAAAACTTTTTAAAGAAGGCAAAGGAATAACCATCAGGCCCTGACGCTTTCTCACTACCGCATCCCCAAACAGCGTTTTTAACTTCCTCGATAGTGAAGGGCAGCTCGAGTACCTCCTTTTGACTTAATGAGAGTCTTTTGAAGTGGTTGCTCTTGAAAGATGGCCTACACACCTTCTCTTCCGAAAATTTCTCTTTAAAGAACTCAAAAGCTGCTTTTTTCAACTCTAAAGGGTTTCGAATCCATCTACCATTTACACCAATACCGTGAATATTTAACTTGCTAAGTCTGCATCTAAGAAGCCCATGGAAGAAACGAGAATTCTCATCTCCTTCGAGATTCCACCTAGCTTTGGCCTTTTGTCTGAGATCACTAATGTTCGCTTCATCAATCTCCATAATACGCTTCATAGTATCTACTCTGATCTGCGCGTCAACAACACTCAGGTTACCAGCAGCCGCAATCAAATTTAAATCATTAACCTTAGCAGTAAGAGAAGCCTTCTCGGCTCTAGTTGAGACTGAATTTGAATTCCTCCAACTTTAATCTTCGCTTTCAACCGCTTTAAATTTGATAAAAGAAGCCTAATGTTACTTGAATTCGAGTAATCGTTGTGATTTTTAATCTAGCCCTCCTTCACCATCTGCACAAAATCAGAATCACTAAGCCAAGAATTAAAAAGTTTAAACGGGATCGGCCCAAAGTCTACGTCGCAGCCATCCAGAAGAATAGGGCAGTGATCTGAGTATAAAAATGGCAGCGCGGTCACACTAGCTTTAGGCCACAAGGCGAGAAAACTCTGAGACACCAAGAAGCGATCAAGTTTACTCCATTTAAAACCGTCCGCACTTTTCCTCGTGAACTTTCGACCACCCATTTTGAGGTCCAAAAATCCGTTCTCAGAGATAAAGTTATTGAAGACCAAGGCACTCCCAACATCAAACTTGGACCCAACCCTTTCATCCTGACATCTAACAACGCTAAAATCACCGCAGCAAATCCAAGCATCAACATCGATAGACTCCAAAAGCTCTGTAAGAGCAGACCACAACTAAGCTTTATCGCTAGAATCTTGAGGAGCGTAGATGTTACAAATACCTAATGTAACCCCACTAGGACGCCAAGAACCAATAACGATCAAATAATTTCTATTCATAAAATAATTTAATTTGATGAAAAGAGATGAGTCCCAAAAAGAGACAAGACCACCAGACCTGCCATACGGATCAACCGAAGCCATATCTACGTTCCTACCCCCCCCCCCCACACCGACGAGCATAAGAACCCTTTAGTAAAAGAAGAGATTCTTGACTCCTGGATACAAAGAAAGCTCACTCTGTTATCATGCTTGAGCTCCTTCAACCATTTCCTTTTAACACCTCCCCCGAGACCATTAACGTTAATTGATAAAAAATTTAACATGATCGAACTACATCTCCATCGACTTGCAAAGAGTCTCTAACCAATTCTTCTTTCCCTTTCATCTCGAAGCCAACTAGACAACCAACCCAAATAGTTTCATCAACTTCGAAATTGGGAACCTTGGATTCAATATCAACAATCGGAACCTCCTCAATCACCCTGTCTAGTCCGATCGCCTCTGTATTGGAGTCCTCGACCTCCAAAACCTTTTTCGATCTAGCTCCGTTCTTCCTTCAGCATTTCAAACGCAAATCCTTTTTCCTCGAGACAACCGTCCACGCATGGAGATCTTCTAATTCATAATCATAATCATCCAAGGGGGTATCGGATTCCCCTATACTTCCAACTGGAACATTCTCTTCCTCTCTCTGGCCATCCTCCACATCGGTAAAAACAATACACTTTGGAGAAGCATTGAGATCAAATTTCTCAGTCATGAGATCCTTGGAAGACACAGTTACAAAAGGGGCATCCTGAGAACAATTAACATTACCCTTTTCAATACCATCCAAATTTGGAACATCAATAACAGGCCCATCTTGATGCCCAGAGGAGCTAACATTAGTCCCCATCGGCCCAATTTTGTTCTCCACTTCTTTAACCGGTCCAATGCCCTCACAGACGTCATCCAAGCAAGCATTAAACCCACCCACCTCATCATTTAGATCCCCATGCAGATCAATAATGAACTGATTGGAATCCCTGCTTATTTTTCCACCCGAGGAGACATTCTGGCAACCAAGACTCGACTGTTCCGCTTCATCTTCCTTTGCCTGTTGGAAATGTGAGAAACCGGACTGCTCCAGTGACGAAGAAAGGATATCGTCATCAAAGATATTTTTCGAACGACACAACGAACCCGATTCCGAGTCGCCATTAGCATCTTCAAAAAAAGAACCTATGAACATTCCCTTTGCAACATCTTCAGCCACACGAACTTGTACTCGAATCTCATCAATAATGATCTTAATTGAATCCATAATCCACTTTTTCTCACCAGTAAGAATACCGACTTTCCCAAATTCACAATTCCTGCAATCTGCCGAACAATTTTCCGGGATTATAACTTCTCCCCATTTACCGGCAATTTCAGTAAACACACCAGGGGTCCAAGCTTGAATTGGTACACCGTGAATAGTGACAAAAGCGATCCTTTCCTTAACCACAAACTTATCATTCCAAAATTCTAAATTGGTAAACCAGTCACTCCAAACATTATAATCATTGATCAAGAAATTTTGGGCATAAGTTGAACTTTTTAAACAAACCTGAGCATACAAACCTCCCAGGTATCTGACTAACAACTCCTGAGAATTTGTAACTTCCCCAAATTTTTGGAAATTACATAAGGCTTCAAAGCTTCGAAACTTTCCGATAAGAGTCGA